CGAATGCAGCCCAGGAATGGTTAGTTTTGAGAACAGAAACACTTCAAAATCTTACCTTATTCACAGCTGCATGTTTCTTAGTTTTGACTCCTAAGGGCTATATTGCTCCAGGTACTCGTTCTAAAGTAAAATTTATAGCAAAAGATTCAATTTTATTATAATAAATTCATCGTTCTTTTTACGAGCTTTGTTGTTGTTCCAGGACTTGTGGGACTTTCTCTTTCGTATGCTTTTGCTCTGACTGGCACTCAAGTGTTTCTAACTCGATGGTACAGTAGCTTATTGAATTATATCGTTTCAGTAGAAAGAATCAAGCAGTTTATGCATATTCCCCCTGAGCCTCCAGCAATTGTGGATGACAAGAGGCCACCAACTTCATGGCCCTCAAAGGGGAGAATAGATTTGGTGGATCTGAAGGTAATTAATCCAGTAAACTAGGTCTGAACAGAAACAGTTGATATATGCTCACAAAGGGACTCATTTTTATGTTAGAATCCTCTGAGTAATGTGACTGCTCCACTGCTGATACAATCTTGTTATTCTTTTTCATGGATTCAGATACGATATCGGCCAAATGCTCCAATAGTGCTCAAAGGGATCACTTGCACTTTCAGTGAAGGGACTAGAGTAGGAGTTGTTGGAAGAACAGGAAGTGGGAAAACAACTCTGATCAGTGCATTGTTTCGTCTGGTTGAGCCTTATAGCGGACAGATTATTATAGACGGGATTGACATTTGCTCCATAGGTCTAAGAGATTTAAGGTTAAAACTCAGTATCATCCCTCAGGAGCCGACTCTTTTCAAGGGAAGCATTCGAACAAATTTGGATCCTTTAGGACTTCACTCTGATGATGAGATATGGAAGGTAGTCTCAAGAACTTTTCATGAAACTTCGCATTCACATTTTGCACTTCTTGACACAAAAAGTAATATTTGGTACTGAAAATCTCGAAATTTTAAAAAAACCTCAAAACAGTTTGCAAAGAAGTTAGTTAAAAAAGTGACTTTTAAGTTTGAATGATGATTCTACGATAAATCTAATTAATTCTTGATTTGCAGGCTCTAGAAAAATGCCAGCTTAAGGACACCATCATCCGACTTCCAAACTTGCTTGATTCTTCAGGTGAGTTCGACTTCAACAATAAAAATCTTCCCTACTCCACAAGACCGATAAACCATAATTAGACAGCATATGCTGCTATTATAAGCTGTGTAAAATGCAATGCAAGTAAACTTGGTCAAGTTTCAGTAACTAATAGAGATCATCTCTGTGAACTCTTTCCAACAGTGAGCGATGAAGGCGAGAACTGGAGCATGGGGCAACGCCAGCTTTTCTGTCTTGGTCGAGTCCTTCTCAAACGAAACAGAATTCTAGTTCTCGACGAGGCAACTGCATCAATAGACTCTGCAACAGATGCCATTTTACAGAAAATTATAAGAGAAGAATTTGCAAACTGCACAGTCATAACTGTGGCACATAGAGTTCCAACAGTCATAGACAGTGACATGGTCATGCTCCTCTCTTTTGGTAAGCTTTCATAACTTCCAATTCATTACACGTTCATGAGTAATCGCCTTATGTTAACAAAAAAAATTCTCAAACAATCGAGAGATGTGCGAAATTTTTCTCATTTCTTTGTGAGTTGATCTGATGGACCTACAGAATATCACACGTTTTAGGTGCCATAAAATTGCATGGCCCAGAACCTCCGACACTCAAATTAAGCTGAGAAAATTGCTTCATTGATTCCCACCCTATTGTTCAAAAGTAGAAAGTTGGTCCTCAACGATCACTATATTTGCACAATCAGTTCCCAACGACAAAACCATCCAAATCTCTATTAAACCGTCGCGTGCATTTCATGGAAGTATCAAGTATGCATCGCTTTAGATATCTAGACACCCGTCCAAGTTACAAAATAAGTTCTAAAAAATATTAGACATGTGAGGTTTACATAGCGAGTTATTGAAGATTTATGTTTTCTGTCATCGAGAATTGATCGTGCAACTATAATTAAAGGTCTCTGCTACCCAAGAAATAGAGTAGCAGCCATTTAACCATGGAAATGCGTATAACTTTGCTAGGGTTTTAGGGTTTCTTCTATGTTTAGTTCATCTGTTACTGTTATCTACTTCTTGATCGGTAAAAAAGTCTCGAGACGTTAAACTTTATGCGATGTGAATTTTGAATTCAATAAATATTATATAGCTCAAACTTCATTCTTCTTCCATCATTGTAACTATTTATGATGATTCTGAGCAAATTAATTAACGTTTATAAAAACTTGCAGGGAAGTTGGTGGAATATGATGAGCCTTCAAAGCTTATGGAAATCAATTCATCTTTCTCTAAGCTTGTAGCTGAATATTGGTCCAGCTGCAGGATGGAATCCCAGCCAATATCATAATAGAAAATGATGTAGCGAAAGCATAAGAAATGTTGAAGAATCCAAGATCGAAAAATCGTTGATTCAAAAGAAATAATGTGTTAGCACCTACGTATATCCCTATTTCGTGGAAATTAAAATCAAATTTTTAGTAGATTTTGATAGAAGTTGATGAAATGTGTTGTTGAAAAGTTACGGAACCCATAAAATATGTGATTAAAATAAATTGTTGACTTAAATACAATTCAGATTTTAGTCAATAGCAAACAGAGGCATAAACATGATTAGATATGTGATGTGACAGAAACGAAGATGAAAATATATAATCAATTGATGTATTTACTATTTGTTTGGTAAAGATTTTGATAATTGATTTTTTGACCGTTAGAAATGAAGTGGATTCTATTTGTGAGAGAAAAATTCAAAAATGACAATTGAAATAATAAAATAACGGTCAAAAAATTAATTTTAATTGAACTAATAGCTATACCAAACAAGCTCTTACTCTCTTTTGTAACATATGGTCTCTGAGGTCAGATCGATTGGCCAACCATCTAGACTCAAAATTCAAACATCTCGATAAATGATCGAGTTAATTATAATTCACTTGGAAACAATGTCTTTCTAAGTTTTGACTTTTTAGTCTCAAAAATAATTCTTGGCTATCTAGAAGTTCTATTAAACGGGCGTTTATATTGCTCTCGTTTGGCTCTTATTAATTTTCATCATATTACATTTCATTTTTCTCTTTCATACTTTCAACCACAAAATCTTCCATAAAATAATATTACACGTAAATCGAAAATTTTTTCTTTTTTTTCAACCACTAATTTTTCAAACAAACATTATTTCACCCATTTTCATTACCACTAAATGGGGGTCAAACATGGGCATTATTTCAAGACAAATATAAGAATTTTATTATATTTCTAGAGGGTTCTAGAGGAATGTCTCCATAAAGTTAAGATAAGCTGACACAATGACAATTCCACGTCAGATTTGCACCCTTGAATACACTTGTTAATTAATTTATTTTTTTTTCCCTCTGAAAGCCGAAATAATTGTCAATTTTGTCAGTTCTTTGTTAATACGATCCAACAACAATAGACAAATGGCTAAGGCGAAGCGGCATTGAAGTGAGAGACGTTCACTTCAGAGTAAGCCAAGGCGGATTTCTCCCTCACAATAAGCCGGAGATCGATGCTTTCTCATCTCTTACCCTAGTTATCCTAGTGAAAGCCTATTTCTATCTTTCGGAGTTTTTCTATTTGCTCTTCCTTCATCTATGACTTTGTTTATCATGTAGGATCGTAACGTTTTGGTCTATATATTTAAACCTTGTCGGCATTTTTACATTTGATAGAATTTACAACTTTTATTAACTTTATCAGCTAAAATATCTACGATAAATAGATATTAAATCGGACTATATCCAACTCTTAAGTCAAAAGAGAAAGGGAAAAGAAAAGATAAAAGTAGTACTATCAATTTTAAATAATACAAGTTGATTGAAAAAATTTCACCAATCATAAATATGCTTTCCCCTCACTCATCCATAAGCTTGTTTATTATAGCCACCGTTTGGCTACGATTCTCTTTCAATTTTTTTCCTCTTTCTTATTTTCAACAATACAATCTTTCATAAAATAATATTACACGTAAATTGAAAACTTTTCATTATTTTTTAATCACATATTCTTTAAAAAAATACTATTCCAAATATTAAAATTTGAAAAAAATGAAGACTAAACGAGAGCATGTTGGAGTTCACATAATTATGTATAGTGGTACAATCCTCTAATTTTTTTTATTTTTATATTATATAGATAATGTCAACTTAATTAGCGGCTTAGATTTATATTTTAATATTTGTTTCTTTTGTCCCACTTACATATTTAAAGCTTTTTTTGAATATTAATAGTCCAACTTGGACTAAAATTTCTCAATACCCCCAGAGCTATTGGATTCACTAATCATTTTCTTCCTCACTAGAAATTATTTAATTCCTTTATAAAAACCAAATACGGAAACTAGGGAATATTCATTTTTATATTTTGCTAAACTAATATTTTTGTTAAACTGTCATAGTATTTTTTTTTTTTAATAACTTATATTATGATAAACTTGTCACTCTATAATTACATATAATAATACCAAATTTGATGGGGAAAAAAATACTAGTGAAATTATTGAAAATTAGTACACTTAAATTAATAGTTACTAAGTTCCTGTTTGGCCCCAATTTTTTTGAACTTATTTTTTTTCTTAAACTCATTTTCAACTATACATTCTATAAGATTCACTAACTTTTATCAAATTTTCGATCATATATTTTATCAACATTTATAAAAATATACTAAAAATCTGAATTTTATTTAAATCAAGCATGGGCTAAATTCCTCGTCAAATCGAATCGACTTCGATATTAGTCATAATGAATCTCTTAGTTATCGAATATTGCTATTTTTCTATACTTATTGTCAATGTTGCATGAATCATTTTTAGGTCAAGAAAGGAGAAATTTTCTTATTTTCTAGTCTCTTTTCTTATATACAAACTAGGCATTAAACAAAGGGAAAAAAGTAATGAAATGCACATCAAGTTTCAATATATTTAAACCTTCTTAACAACCATTTTTCTTCATCAATTTCGCTTCTTCTTCAAGAAAACCCTAATTCATGGAGCCTAAACAAATTCCCTTTGATTTAAGTCAACTCACAGAGCAAGAATTTTCCTCTCTCCAATCCACCATTCTTAGGTACCACATTTTCCAGCCCAGTTCCTCAAATACCTGCACCTCCCTAACAGTACAACGCATTGATGCACCAGCCGCCGCAGTATGGCCATTTGTACGTGCTTTTGAAGCCCCTCAAACCTACAAACACTTCATCAAAAGCTGTCGACTGGTGGCAGGCGATGGCGGAGTCGGGAGCGTCCGCCACGTCACAGTGGTTTCCGGGCTTCCAGCGTCAACGAGTATCGAGAGGTTAGAGATGATCGATGATGAAAAATTTGTACTGAGTTTTAGGGTTGTGGGAGGTGAGCATAGGCTTACAGATTACAATTCTATTACATCTGTGAATGAACTATTGAATGAGGAAGAAGAAAGGGTATATACTGTTGTTTTGGAATCTTATGTTGTGGAAATACCAGAAGGGAACACAAGAGAGGATACTAGGTTGTTTGCTGATACCATAGTCAAGCTGAACCTTCAAAAGCTTAGGGATGTTGCCATGGCACAGAGAACTTAACTTGTTGTACTCAGTGACACTCGTCACATATGAATATGTTAGATACATGTTCATCGATTTGAAACATGTATTTGTTTGATTGTACTTATAAATTGTACATCTTACAAAATATGTAAATAAAAAATATGTTTAATAAGGTTAAGTTATATTTAAACTGTACCAACTATGCTCTAAATTAATCTTCAAGAAAGTTGATATGACTTTTAAATTTAAAAGTAAGACCAAGTTGTCTAGACACATGTTAAGCACTAAAAAGTAGAATTACTTTTTCTTTTGCACTTTTTTTTTTTTTTTGGATACATGCTTCAAGTTTTTGTGACCTTTGCTTGAAAACTAAAAATTCAACATGCACACAAAATTTGACTACATACTTTATGGCTTATGCTATTTTGCACTTTTCAAACCTTAAACTTTTGAGAATATCCGAGGATATCTATGCAACAGTGAAACACTAATTTTGGAATGTGACAATTTGCGTTATCGAATCTTAACTGAAAATTAGAGACAACTTTTGATTAGGTTGAGTTGGTTATTAAATCGAAATCAATTTATCTAACTTTTATCAATTTATGACTTCTTAGAATTACTTCACATTCGCGGTCTTGTAATGCCATTGAAACATGTGTATCGTTTAAGACATAAAGGTTTTGATGATTTGATGTCACTCTCACCCTTTAGCCCTTATAATTACTAAAAAATTCTAAACTCCAAATTCATCGATAACAACTAAATACGAAAGTTACATTGAAAAACATATTCTAAAACACTTCAAACAATGGCTAGTGCACATAAGACCATTTTGAAAATTTGGACTATTTTAGATACATAGATATTTATATAATTGACCTCTCTAATATTATGTAGGAAAACAGAAATATTGTGGGAAAATTGCATCATCCACCACAACCTATTATTTCAGTAGCAAATTAGGTTCCAACCTTTTGAAATGAACAATTAAATTCCTAAGCTTCTATTATAGGTAATTTTACAACTATCTTCACGAACCTCTGACCCCTACAGGCTACAGCAATATTGTCTCCAACATTTTCTTTAACAATTCTCTCAAAATAAAACAAAATAAATGTTAGTATGTCTTGAAATGATCAAATTTACCCTTAAAACTTATTTTTTGTTAATGTTTTATATCCTTTTCTTTTTACGTAAAATATATATTTTTTTCTCATTTGTTTAAGTTTAAGGACATTTCTTTCTTTCTTTTACACCGTTTTCCAAACAAATTTTTGGGACGAAAATAATGATTAAGGACATGTGACACTAATTAATAATTGAGGCTTAAATTGTTCATTGTTGCATACAAAAAGCTTGTCGCAAAATTAAATAAGGGTTAAAGGTTCATAATGATGACTAATAATCTTTATCGCTTCTCTTATATTATCATATGATTCTTGTGAGTTCTATTTATGAAATTATATTTTTCTTTCGAGCTCGTGCTCGTGTACAATAATTAAGCCTTTGTTTGGTATAGTTAAAAAAATTAATAAAAATCTAAATTAAAGTCAATAGTTAAAGTTAATCGTGCATTTCATGAGATTGACAATTTATCAACTTCAATCACATATTTTATTAACATTCAAACTAAAGTTTTATTTCTAGCAAAACCAAACAGGGTGTTCCATGTTACAACTAAATAATGGATAACTTCTATGATCAAATATTGCAAATTAATTTGCCTCTTTTTAAAAGTTGAGGACTAAGTCTCTATTAAGGCAATAGATTGAAAGTTAATTCTGTAATTTTTCCTACTAATAACGAGGGCCCGGGTGGAGTGAGTTTGGGGTAATATGGTACTCAATAGAGGGGGGACGAGAGAGAGAACAGTGCTTTTGGGTTCCTTTCAGAGGAGAAATAATAAAATAAAGAAAAGAACGGATTGATAATTTGATACTCGTTTGTATTACTTTTGTATGTATATATAGAGAGAGAAAATCGGGGAAAAAAAATAATTTTTTGTACTGATAGATGTAATGTGTATCGCATATTTATGTTTACTGACAATAGTTGAATCTGAATCCAACAATTTTCATGAATTTACTGCTCCGATCATTCACTTTCTCTGACGGGCCCTCCAATTCTTAACCCTAAACACAAACCCAGATACCCGATTGTTTTTTTCTTTAGGAAAAATCAAACCTTTTTTTGGGATTAATGAAGTGAAAATTGAAAAATTAGTTGTTTTGTTTTTAATTTTGATTATTGTTTATTAGTTGATTTTCGATTGCCGACTGGTTAGAGTAAGAAAGGTGGGGGAAGATGAACGGTTGTGATGGTGGAGATGTGGCGGGAGCTTCGGCTGGTCCACCACTGCCGCTCGAGTGGAAATTCTCTCAGGTTTTCGGGGAACGCGCGGCCGGTGAAGAAGTACAAGAAGGTAAAAAGTCCATTCTGGTATTGTGTGATCTGGGTGTATCTTGTAATTAGGGTTTGGTTGTTTCTATTTGATCTATTTTGGATTGTTTATTGGAGAAAAAAAACTCGATTTACTCGAGATTAATGTAAATGAATTGAATTTAGGCTGTGGATATCCGTATGTGATCTGCATGTCAATTTTATTTTGTAATTGTCCTGCTGTAAATGACAACTTATTGATCTCCTCTCGAAGTGATTAAAATGATTCAAATTTGTGACTTGGAATGCACATATCAGATTCTGATTTTCACTAAATTGATAGCTAGCTTGTTTATTTTCTGCATTTAGCAATCTACGTACAAGTCTGAATATACATCCCTGAGCCACATTTCTGTTTTAAACATGTGGGGCCAAGTGTCTCCACAGAAAATTAGTACTGAGCTTCATCAGGCAGGCTTGTGGTTTTCGTTTTGGCATTTCAAGAGCTCTGATTCCAAATTCTCTCGATTCATCCCCCCATGAGGAATTGACAAAACATCTTACTCTTTACCCATTCCAATATAAAGGATTAGTCAATCAAATAATAGATAGTAATTTGGTCGGTTTAAAAAAAAGGAATTACGACTCAAAGTGTTAACAAAAGTGTACACCATAGTGTTAGCAAGGTTCTTACCGTTTGAACTTTGCTATTTGTACACTGATTTTGGACACTTTGATCGACACTTGCATTGTTTTCAAGTGTCAATTGGATGGGAAAACTGTTTGAAACTTAAACTTTCCAACAGGATAATGTCACGTGGTAATGTGAGAAAGGTCCCGTGTCCATGAGAAAAACAGTAAGAAAGAGAGCGGATCACTTCCCCAAGAATCATGGGCACTACAGAACAGCCGGTACCCATCTGCTCAATTATAGTACTGATGTTTAGAACCATGCATATCTGAATGTTCCTTTTCGTATTCTGGGTTAAAGCTTCTTGAACGTTCCTTTTGTGGTTAGGGTCAAATCTGCCTTTGGTTGTGGGACACGTCACATGATATTCTGGAACTAGCAAAAACTTGTGATCTTGTCTTAATTGTAAGATTGTTGTATTTATGGAATTAAGATTGTTGTATTTATGGAATCAAGTAATCATTATACCTTGGTGTGCTGTCAAATAAGCTCTCAGCCATGTACTTCTGTTTTGTCCACTTCAGTGGTGTCCTACATGGGAGGGTATAAATTGTTGTACTGATCAAGAAAGGGGTAAGAGCATGAATTGTTGTGATCATAATATGTTCGCACACAGTTATTTACAGAACAGTAACACCGAGACGTGAGTGTTAGTTTAGGAGCTTGTTTGGTTGACATTTACTTTTGAGAGGGATTTATGGCACATCTGCCCAGTAATTTCAATTATTAGTTAGCCACAGAAGCAGAAGTAGAACTGTGAGGTGGGGTTTTGGAAGAGTATATTTTGGGGATAGACAAGGTATCAATATTGAAGTTATTGGGAAGTTGTTGGCAAACAGTTACCAACTTCATTACTGCTTTTATTCCAATTTGTGTGCCTAAGCTAAATTTTGGATTATGTAGACAGAATACTAATTTCTACTTGATATTTTTACTATATTTCTTTTCTTCTGTTTGAATTGCCATTTGTCGAGGACCCTCAGATGCAAAAAAGTGTTTTGCTAATGTAATCCAAATTAGTGAATTTTCTGCTGGATGAGTGCTTTGGTCTAGTTGTTTGTAAACCAGCATTTGTGCTTTACTCCTGTTCGGTAATTTTAGTGGCTGTGTGTTTGTGAACCGTATGTGTAAAATGTAAATATGTGACGCGTCAATTATTTACAATACTAATTGATGGTTACTTTTATGAACTTTCTGTACAAGTTAATTAAGCCAATAATTGAAGTTACAGTAAAATTTGAACACTGGCACTGAATGTGATGCTGAAGAAAATTTATTTGGTGAGAAAGTATTGTCATGTCTTGGTTGCTGGGATGCTTCCTGATTATGTGGCATCGCAAGTTACTGTCACTGTATCATATGGCACAAAAATATTTCATATTGAACAAGGTGTATGTGGTTCAGTGTTTAAACATAATTTGTTCACGTCATAAATTCTGCTATATTATATTTTTCAAGTATTGTGCAGAGAAGATCTTCTATTATAATTGAAGGTTTTAGCTGCCTTTTTGGTCATGTTAGTGTGGGTGCCAATGAACAGATGGAATCAGAGGTTACATTGTATCGGTATAAATTTTAGGATTCGGAACATGAAATTGTGATTTTTGTAATCCTTTATCTATTTTAAATTTTGCAGTTGATATTATATCGGCGATTGAGTTTGATAAAACTGGTGAACATCTTGCTACTGGTGACCGCGGGGGAAGGGTGGTGTTATTTGAAAGGACGGATACCAAAGAGGTCAGTTTATGCTAGCCAAAGGATGTACAAAAAAATGTAGCCTATTAGCACCATATCATTTTCTGGTGTTATTTCAATTTGCAGCCTGGTGGAAATCGAAGAGATTTAGAGAGGACAGACTATGCAGTGAGTCGGCATCCTGAATTTCACTACAAAACCGAATTTCAGAGCCATGAACCTGAGGTACTTATTTCCTTTACTTTTTGAATCATCTCGTCGTTTTTGCATATGCCACCTATGTGATATGAATCATGCATCTTTCCACTCTTGAAATTTTACAGCAAAATTTTCATTGTAAATGGTGGCTAACTGAAAAAGCATCTCCACGAATCTTTCTTCTGTTACCACCACCAAACCTGTGAACAGTGTCATATCTAATTTCATATACATCTGCATCTTCTTTGTGTAGTTTGATTATCTCAAGAGTTTGGAAATTGAGGAGAAAATCAATAAGATACGGTGGTGTAACGCAGCTAATGGTGCGCTCTTTCTTCTGTCCACTAATGACAAAACCATCAAGTTTTGGAAGGTGACATGTCTAGCTTCACTTTGTTTTTTCGTCATTACTCTTATTTGTGGGTTGAATTAGTTCTTATTGCATCTGATCATGGTGCTGGATTTCATTATTTCCCTTTTCCTTTGTCTCTTTGCACTCCATTTTTCAGGTTATAGTTTAAGAATTGTGGTTGTTACCTGATTAATAATTTGTTCTCTCTGGTCTCTATGTACGTTAAGATCAGTGGTTTTACTTTTTAAGGCAACGTGCCTTGGTTTTCTTTTGTTAGTAGTGAGTGCATTGTCTAAATTTTCATATATATAGCAAATATTGTTGGTCTTAGATTGTATTCAGTTGCAGATATGATTGGTTACAGGAGTTTTTTTCTTTTTCTCATTGTATTTACAAGGCAAGACTTGATACTTCTTATTTTTAAGCTTTTAAACTCCAAATGGAAGGTATGATATTATGTTGTTGCAAATTTCATGTTCTATGATTAATTTTCTGTCAATTAAGGTTTGATATCACTGGCTATCTCAATTTTGCCATGTTTTAAAGTGAATCCTCAGTTTTAGTTGGTCACTTTTATCGTTTGTAACTGTCTGTTTCAGTTAAGTTGCTTGATGATTATATTTCTTGTGTTTTATTTAAACAGGTCCAAGAGAAAAAAGTCAAGAAAATTTCTGAAATGAATGTAGAGCCTTCCAAATCTGCTGGAAACGTCAGTATTGCCAGTTCAAGTTTTTCTCCCAGTCCTAAGCAGTATCTTCCTAATGGAGGATGTCAAGATCGATCTTACAATTCTTTGAGCAATGATGTGTCATTTCCACCTGGGGGCGTCCCCTCACTCAAATTACCGGTGGTAGTTACTAAGCTATATTTTACTTGCATTTCTACGGATATCTATAGTATCCATCCTTCTTTTATGCATTCTATATCAACAAGATACATGTATTATGGAATAGTATTTTTTGGAATAATGTGTGGTTAAAAAAGAAGGATTTTTTTTATTTTTTTTTATTTACGTGTAATATTATTTTATTGAAGAATGTGTGGTTGAAATGAAGAGAAAGAAAAATGCATTAAAATTTAATGTGTGTCAAACAAGGGCTTAGTACTATGTATATGTCTTTGTGTAATATTGCATTTTTATAGCGTTGTGGACTTTCTTAACTGTGAATGGATTTGGTCCTTTAGAGCGTAGTTGAATCAAAACCTTGGTTCTCAAGTGTGCATTCATCAATTAGAAGGTTTTTGTAAGAACTCACTAGGAAGTAAACACATTCAGATTTCAGGTTTACTGTTGCTTAATGCAGCGTATTTCTATTTATTTTGTACGCAATTGGCATCTTTGTAACACTGGAGCATGATCTGTAGGTTACAAGCTTTGAGACCAGTCTTGTTGCGAGATGTAGGAGAATATATGCCCATGCACATGACTATCACATCAATTCTATTTCTAATAATAGGTGAGAATGTGTATTTTTTCCAATCGTTAATGATTGCAGTCTCCCAATACATAATTCCATTTTCTTTTGACATAATGCTCTTACTAAGACTGTTGGAAAGTGTTGTGATGTAGAGTGGGCCTATTAATGCCTACCCTCTATTTCGACACCCTTCAGCCAAAAAAGTAGGGGAAAGTGAGTAAATATTTAATGGTATATGGTATAGTTTTCATATGAAAAATTTTCATAGATCAAAAATATTATCTATTGGGTCCAATATTGGGTGAATAGGTTCATCATATGTGGTTGGAAATGGGGGAACTGTGATCCCGGAGGCATGAGTGTGCTGAAGGATATTTGATCCAAGAGGTTGGGTAATTTCTTACGTTTATGTGACATGATTTGCTGAGAGGACAATCCTTAGATGGCAGTAAAGAAGTGCTTTTAACACAGTGTCAGGAAATTTTTTAATTGTCCACTGTGGGTGCCAGTATGATCTTTTTCTTTTGTGTGTTGTGATTTGTTTGGATATTCTCAGATATATCTCTGATTACAATGGTTTCCAGTGACGGTGAAACATTTATATCAGCTGATGATCTGCGAATAAATCTTTGGAACTTGGAAATAAGCAATCAAAGTTTCAACATTGTTGACGTGAAGCCAGCAAATATGGAAGATCTAACTGGTAAGTGCTTTTGCTCTGATTGGAAAATCAAGCTCAATTAAAGGCCAGGTCTAAGGTTTTATCTTGCCTTTTCTTTCACTATTCAATGAGAATTCAGCTATGGAATCTTAATCAGCTTTTACAGGAATCATAAAAGGAAAGAGTAAGGGGTGTACCTTTCCTATTCTCTAGCTTTTCCGCAAGGGGGTTAGGACACAAGCATCCAATGAAACTAACTGAAAACATGTTTGAGAGTTGTTAATGGTTTAAATTATAAATAGATAAAAAAGAGTGGTGGATAAGTGGGTAGTAGTTGTGGGTCTCTTGAAATATATGGATAAATAGTGATTTGACCAATTAAAAATGATTTATAAATGGTAGCCAAATGAGGACTGAATCTCATATCAATTCCAACCATTTGGTGGTGAAGTCTTTGCAAAAGAGCAAAAGAAAAAATGAACAGCATATGCCAAAAAAAAAAAACAACCCTTGTTGAAGAGGGGTTAGGAGTATTGGGGAAACCGTTCCTATCTTAGAGACCCTGAGAATAATGTACCAGAGGTCCCAAATTCGGTCTATATGAATAGTTCAGAGAATATCAACTACGGACATGCGACAAGAGAATTAAGGCTGTAAACGGACTGGATTGTAGGTGCAGTGCTGGTTTTTCCTTTAGCAGTAACAAGCAGAACAAAAAAGGATGTAGCTTGAACATATTAACGTAATGGATCTTGCTATTCCTTCTTCATGTGACATTAATATTTTAGACAACTAAATCATATTATTAAAGTTTCAAGAATGACTAGTACTCTGGAAGATCATTTTGTTCCCTTGATCAACTTATTTCTTATTGCAGAGGTCATAACTTCCGCAGAGTTTCATCCTACTCATTGTAACATGTTAGCATATAGTAGTTCAAAAGGATCAATTCGTCTAGTTGATTTGCGGCAATCAGCCTTGGTAGATTCACATTCTAAACTGTAAGTGCTTCACATTCTGCTTATGACGAAACAAATTGTGTAATTTTGTACTGAATAGGAAGTCAAACATTGTGCTGTGGGTTCATACTACTATTAAATGCTCATAATTATTATGTAATGATCTTCTATTCATGTACAGATTTGAGGAACTGGAGCCACCTGGTTCAAGATCATTTTTCACTGAGATAATAGCTTCAATTTCAGATATTAAGTTTGCGAAGGATGGGAGATATCTGCTTAGTCGTGACTACATGACCCTTAAGGTTTATCTTATGTAATTATTTACTCATTCTGAGCTTCATATGTATATATTATGTTTGTCTTGCTATTAACGGTCACTCTCTCTCCATGGTTTTTGCCTGGGCTTATCTTGTTCATGCGTTCTGCTTAGTCTAGCAATTATATCACTGTAGGCATTTTATAAGAGTTAATCAAGAGCAAGGTCAAACGGATATAAGTTGCTTATATTCAGGCATGTAGTAAAGTTAATCTTAAAGTCGCAGCAATTGGAAATAATTCATCACAATCACCTATTTTGACTATGAGTATGTTTTCTACCATTCTACCACATTATTTTTTTACAGTACTCATTTTCAATTACACATTTTCATTAAAATAATATTATACGTAAATCAAAAACTTTTCCTTCTTCTTAACCACACATATCAACATCAATCATCATTCCATAATACATTATTCACAAATAATGGGGCACAAACACCCCCTTTATGTGCTGACTGTAGAAGGTTCTTGTCGTCTGTTATGCTCTCAAGAAGATGCATGGTTATTTTGCATGATTGGCTTTTGTTGTATACAATTTTCTGTATTATGATAATTTTGGTCCATCACTTGACGCTCAAAATGGTTTCAGTTATGGGACATTAATATGGATTCCGGACCAGTGGCTACTTTTCAGGTTCATGAGTATTTAAGACCCAAGGTGAGATATCCTTTTTCTGAAAAAATCCTATCTTACTTTTCAGTGCAAAGGTTGTTTTATTGTGCTGATATTAGATTATAATTTGATATTGTCCAGCTATGTGACTTATACGAGAATGATTCCATTTTTGACAAATTTGAGTGTTGCCTGAGTGGTGATGGTCTAAGAGTGGCAACTGGTTCTTACAGGTACGTTCAAGCTTCTCATTTCAGTTGCATCACATCTGTTGAAATTTTTTTGCTTCTGACAAAACATTTAGTGCATTTTTTTCAAAGCTTATAATTGCTTATGACTAATTGGCCCAAGGAATGTGTGGTTAAAGAATAGGTAAAAGTTGTGGGTCCTATGGAATTTGTGTGCATAAAAATAGAGCTCGACCAGTTTATGAGCAATTATAAACTTTGACAAATATGCACTTACTTGATCTCAGCAATCTATTCCGGGTGTTTGGGGGTGCTGCTGGTAGTACTGAAGCAACCACACTGGAGGCAAGCAAAAATCCTATGAGGTATTTTTGTCAATTACTTTTTATATGTTGGTCATGAATTTGATTTATGTTTTATATTTCATGGTTTAAGAAAATATTCAATTTGAACCTTCAGACAACAAGTCCAGACACCTTCAAGGCCTTCAAGATCCTTGAGCAGCAGCATAACTCGTGTTGTCAGGCGAGGTATAAGCTCTCACCTCCTCTTGATGACATTTGAATGGGGTTAAGTACACTGGTGCATTACACTTTGGTTACTCCATCTATGAGCATTAGTTTCACTAACAACAAAGGTGACACAGCAGTCTTGGTTTGTTGCCAACTAGACTGCCACATTAGTTTATTTTGTTACTCAAACTGATGTGTTCAAATTGTAACAAACTTTAAGTTGAATGACCGAAGTTCTGCAATCTACTTAGAACAAATATGTTTAGTGAAGAAAACGAATTAGCTGAAAGTCTAGTGGCACGAGTGTTATTAAATCCCATTTATTCTTCTTCCCCTCTTAACCCTGAAGAAAGATTGGTTAACGGTTGCAGGTGCAGAAAGTCCCGGAGTCGATGCCAATGGGAATTCATTTGATTCCACCACAAAATTGCTCCACCTGGCATGGCACCCAACTGAAAACTCGATTGCCTGTGCTGCTGCAAACAGCTTGTACATGTATTACGCATAAATAGCAGTACTGAAACCCAGTCGACATTTTTGGAATGCAGATAGGACAATGTTTCTTCCGCAGCCAAATAGAGGCTCTCCCATTTCTCATATCCAAGTGCCTCTTAAATCTGTAAGCACATGTAGTGGCTGTCATCGGATTCTCAATTTACCAACCTGTCTTCATTACTGTCTGCTCCAGTTCGCTTTCTTTCATCACTTGGCCTCTTCTGCTCCATCCTCAATTTATTTTAATTTTTTTTTTTTTTTTAACCTCGCCTGAAAACGAAAGACGGGAAAGAATGTGATTGTAGGACTGTACCTAGTCTTAAGGTATATGTAGTGTCTAACTTGAAAACTTCTCGGAAAAAATGAGGTGCCGCTAACTTGCCAGGCATCGAGTTTATTAACTTTTCTTTGATAGCATAAAGTTTTCTTCTGTGTGGAATGGTTTTGGTCTGCTTTGTGTTGTAGATTTAATTTGTAAAAGTAATTAAAGCTCCGGTCTCAGTCGATTTTTATTTGCATGGAAAAATTGAATTTCATCTGTGAGGCATGTATATGTTATTAGGCTTTTCAAGTTTCAGATGGTCGGTTAGTACCTTTGTTCTCTCTCCCGATTTCTTGTAGGTTGGTTTTAAGATTTTACAAAGATTCGGGAAACAGCATGAGAGCTAATGTTAAAAATTGTTTTCCTTTTTTGTTTGTCCTAAATTATAAATCATTTTCCTTGTTGAAAGTNGGAAACAGCATGAGAGCTAATGTTAAAAATTGTTTTCCTTTTTTGTTTGTCCTAAATTATAAATCATTTTCCTTGTTGAAAGTCTAGTTAATATTCTTATCAACAACAAATATGAACTACTTTTATTTAAATTATTATTTAATGTAGGTATATGTTAGGAAAAATATAAGTAAAATTTATATATTAATTATATTTTTTAATTCGTTTGAATATAGAAACAAGTTTAATTTTATGGGACGGAGGGAATAATTTTTAATATCATTTATTATGTCGAGAAATGGGGTAGTCTTCATAAATTTCCACTAGGTTAGCGATAAGAGGCATCTCCTCTGATCTTAAAAATTATAGCAACCTTTTGTATTTATATCATTTTACCCTTGTGTTGAATGAACTATATTGTTTTGTTATTTATCTTTTCCACAAACTATTACATTTAGCTTATGTTTGATTTAGATAAAAATAAAATTTTTAGTAAACTTTAATGGAAGTAAATGAAATATATGATTAAAAAATTAATAAAAGTAGAGCGTTTTAACAAATATACGGTTAAAAACCAATTTGAGGTGAAAAGAATTTTAGAAGATAAAGTGCGTACTTAATATATTTGTGAAAATTATCCTTTTTATTTCTCCTCACAAGAAATTAGATTAAACCTGAATTTTTACTTGAAAAAAGAACAGACGAACAGTGTCAATCTATATTAAAATTTTAATTTTAATTAGAGTCAATGTCAACAATTAGTTTTAACCATCTATTTCATGAAATTCACAACTTTTTAATTACACAATTCATCAACCTTTAAAAAAAAAAAAAAAAAATTGACTTTAATTTCCACCGAATAAAAACTCCATAGTACGATTGGTCAGGAATGATAAAATGCTTTGCACTCCTTAAATTATTGACTCCTATAGCTGTTAATGGTACCAAAAATAAAAATCAAATAAAATTTAATTTTAATCAAATATTAGTACATATTTTTATAATATTTATTTTAGCTAAAAATAAAAAACCTTAAGAAATGAGAAAATAAAAAGAGAAACGTGATACTAATCACAAAATTCATATGAAAATAACATAAACTAATGACACATATTCTCTTATAAATTTGGAAGCATTTTAATTCAGGCGCCAAAGAAGTCAGCAGGGTATAATGTTGAATGTGATTGGTATCTCAATATTGGTACAAGAATTGGAAGCAGAACTTGTAATATGTATTCTTGAGCAACTATTTTTGCAGCAAACACAGATACACCTTAAAATGGATCACAAATTCACAATACATGACCAGATAAATAAAGGAGATGAGGTGGGGGAGATAACGACAAACACGAGTGCTAAACATGCTTGAAGAACAACGGAGTCGTCATGTCCAGAAAGCTTCATCTGGTTGTTGGAAAAAACACGAATGGAAATTTGGCGAAAACAACAAATGGATTAATTGACCTAATGAAGAGATTGCATGGGAACATCGCGAGCTTTGTACATGCAAATGTAAGCCATATGCCAATCACCTGAAAGGAAATAAGCATTTGTCTCAGGAACCAACCGTCCGTTCAGAAAAGGGGACCTATAAATTATTTTCTTTTGCACTGCTAGTCTTGTCAATACTACCAGATGTACCCTAAAGTGTGTGAGGGTGGGGTGGGGGGGGGGAGGATGCCTAAGAACAAGAACAATTGACCAACAATAGTAAATAGTAGCAGCGAATTTCACAATTGCGGAGGTATGAAATATGAAAATCTAACTTACGTCCGCCAGAAAGTCTTGTTATGTCTTCTTCTCGCTGCGGTATTGGATCATCATCATCAAACTGAATCCATTTCCCTGTCACATAGATTAGTTGAACTCGAGACCAACAAGACGGATAATATTAGTCTAGGAGAGAAATTTTAATGAACAAACCATTTTCTTGCTTGACCCAGGCAACATAATGCCCTGAATCAGCACTTCTACCCTTGTGTGTCAGCACAGCAACCAAATCATATATTCCTGTCAGTGCCTTCTCCTTCTCGGAAGCATCTGAAATGAAGTATAAATTCATCCAACTACAGAAAGGGGAACAAGTTCCAAACACTTCTAGAAATCAGTTCCCAAAAACGCATTAAATTGGAGACTACACTTGAACTTTCAGAAATCATTTCTCAAAAGCATGTTAAACTTTAGACAACACTAACAACTTCGCAAGACAAGGCTTTTTAGCTGTAGATAACCTTCTTCTCCATAAATTGAAGTACATTTACGTAATTGAACTGGATTGAAAGTATAGTTACTGCAAATGGAATTTACCCATTTTTGTCTACTTGTGTAGGCATCATCAAATAGAAGTGGGGACTCGTCTAACTTTCAACTGGTTGTATTCTGGAAATCTAAACATGAAATAGTGCAAGGATTTATTATGGGCCATGGCCTACATTACCAATGGTTCGTTCAACCAGCAAATTATCAAGGTTTTCCAGCGGTTCAGTCAAATCAACTACCTTTGTTAAATAAAATAAATTATATAAAAAGACCATTACCTTCAACCAGTTGAAAGTTAGACGAGTCCCCACTTCTATTTGATGATGCCTACACAAGTAGACAAAAATGGGTAAATTCCATTTGCAGTAACTATACTTTCAATCCAGTTCAATTACGTAAATGTACTTCAATTTTGTTCAATCGGGTCTAAACTTTAATATGATTCAATTGAGTAACCACGCTTTAATTTGATTTCAATAGAGTAAATACATTTTAATTTGATTTCAGTTAAGGTAACTTCGTCCAATTCCACCAATGATGTAACGGTTATCACGAATAACATAAGCTGCTGACGTAAGACAAGTACAACTTCACAAAAATAAATTGCACACATCATTATTGAGTCATTGACAGCTATGTAATTGATTTTCGTTAGTCCAAGTGACAATTTGACAGAGTTACCTAATTGAAATCAAAATGAAGTGTAATTACCAAATAGAACAAAACAGAAGTACAATTACCTGACTGAAATAGAGTGAAAGCATGGTTACCGCAAATGAAATTTAACCAGACAAAAATACGTGCAACCAAGAATTTTTAGAAAGTTCTACATCGATAAATTTATCCAGTTTTTTCATATGCAGGACTGGACAGGATAATGGATCTCTTTCTATCAATTGTTCTATGATCAGATTAATCACATACCTCAACCTCAGCCATCTTGACATCATTGTCCGTTGGACCAGAGATCCTATCACTAGTTTTTAGACCAAGCTTTTTGCCTTCCTCATCTCTTAGAATCTTAAAGTTGGGAAGTTTATAAACGAGACTCGTCATATGAGAAAATTGCAGGGGTGTCTGGATGAGGTGTTATGTAACAAAAAAATGCAATTGGGTTCTAATTAATCAAATGCACAAAAGCTTATACCTGTCGAGGAACTTCCAATCTCTTGCGAAGATCATCAGAACAAAAATCATAGACATCCAACTCCAGAGGATAGTCCACTTTCTGTGCACCATGCAAAAATTTTAATAATAGGGAACATTGATAAATTTTGTGAACAGGAAACTGATGCCCTCGCATAAAAATTAAGCATTTTCAAGTTTTAGAGAGAAATGGCTGAGAGTTAAATATAGCACTGCCACCATCTACAAGAAATGAAATTGCTCCGATGTGGAGATAGGTGTGCCGCGTGCATGTTTTATTTTGGAGAAGACAGCAGAGAAACAGCAAATGTAAATAAAATTAGAAACAAAATTACCCGCAAAATTTTTGCCTTCTGATTAGATTCTCTTTTCCAGAAAAAACGTACAAACTGAATAGTCAAATATCTGTCATCAGAAGATAAAGGAATAGTCATTTTCACCTACCCAGAGAAACATGGCCACAGTTTCAGTGGGCAAAGACACAATAAAATACAGTGAAAGCATCTGAAACAGGAATAATAGAAGGGCACCAGAAAAGGGAGGAACGTAGTGCTGTATATCTCATACCTAGGCAAGTCATTAATGCGTGAATCCTTCAAGTACAAAGCACTTCGCCCTAGAGAAGGAGAAGTCTTCTCCAATTCTGATTTCAGACCCTGGATGAATTATTCATAGTGGTATAAATTACCAATCAGGTCATAAAATGGACAAGAATAAATTTAACTGACCACCATATGGCACTTTTTGCAATTATTTGACAAAATTACTGTTAAAAAAATGGGAAGAAATTATCTATACATTCCCCCCAGTAATTGTGGAGATCTTAAGAGTGAGATCTTGGATCCCAACATTTTGAGCTCATTCCAACACATGCATCTGTAACTGATCACTTTTTACTAGTTACTGTTACTCTAATAGCCTACTCCTATTCTAACCCAAGAAGTAGGGTGTTCATCATCAAGGTGTCATTATTACTAAGAACCAACGATAAGGCTAGCAAGTTACCAATTTGAGTGTGGTAGTGCATTTTTACCATATAGTTAATATGATTTCTAGAATGTTCCATTTTAGGAGATAATTGCAACTTCATAAATAGTCACCTATAAAGGATAAGAGGGGTCAAACCCATGTTGCAGAAAAACTTTATGCAAAAACCAATCTATAGCAGAAGGTAGTACACAGAAGAATAAAATAGAAACCATAATAGATTATAAAAGAGACTAACATAATCAAACTCACATGTTTTAGCCCCTCATGCAGATGGTTCACTTCTTGTGATATATGGCATTTAAGTGAATATACAGATTCTGTTTCTGTGCTTTCTTCACCACTTTCAGGGCAGTGAACCCTATCCTCACATTAACATTTAACTGACTATATCAACTGACTTTCTCCAAGAGAATGGGAATTTAAAGATGATAACAACCAGAAAGACATGCAGAAGAAACGTTAAAGGTAAAAAACAATCAATTAATAAATTGCATAATAAAGCAGCAAATTAAAAAGCTTCCACCCACACAAACAGGTCCCACAACCCCGTTGAATTTGTTTCTCGATGCATATAAGAAACTTCACTTGATTATATCTTCTCCAGCCAATATAACCAACCTATAAGTAACCATTGTGATAAATTTATTCTTCAAAATTATATCCCATGCTGACCCTATATATTTGATGTTTAATAGTAGTATAAATTTCTTTCTCAGCCACAAATGATTAACTGCTCATCTAGTTCTCCCATTTCTTTTTCTTGTAAATATTTTTATAGCTACAAACAAGTCACCTAACACCCAAGAACAAAATCAAGACAACAGAGTAAAAATATCTGCAAGCACAGAGGTCGTAATAGACTATTAACTATTTCATGAAAATACAAAACTGAAGTTTGGAGCTCTACAGAACCATTTTAGAATAATGGATATATTGCTTTGAAAAGACACAAAGCATAAGGATCTGATTTACCCCCACAAAAAACACTTGAGCTAGTATAACACACCTACTGGAATCATGTGATAAGAAAAAACTGAAGAACGTGCAGTTCGAAGTCAATGCAAGGCTCTACCTACTTTAATGCTTTGAGCTTCACTTCTCCCAAAAAATAAAAAATGATGGTTAGCAGAGCTATTCCAATGGCAGGTACCTTCAAATGGTCTCTTCCATTGTTAGAAATGGAGGGTGCAATATAATCATTGTGCTGAAGTGCTTTATACATGATTCCATATTAGGTTACCCAACGAACTACTTTTACTAACCATATGCTAAAATCAATAAAGCACAAAATATAATTTGCAGAAAATTACTCAACAAATAAATGCAAACTACACTCTTAGCTGACTTAGCGTTGAAAATAATAGTCTCAAAATTCCTGATCTACAATGCTTGCACAATTGCATAAATACCTGCTAATTAGGTCAACACCGAAAAGTCTCTTCAGGGCATCAGTATCTTCACTGCAAGAGAGAACATGATCGAGAATTAGTAAGTTTATAAATTTGCATTAGAAAAGATAACAAGTACCAAAAGCAAAATTTTTACAGGCACGTGACTTGAAAAAGAAAAATAAGTGAAAATGAATTGACCACAATGTGAAGAGAAACAGCAGCCAAGAAAAAACGAATGGGAACCAGGAAAATAAAGGAAAACGTATAATAGATTGAGTAATTTTAAAATGAAAACCATTAGAAAATTTTGAACTCTCAATAGGCATTCAGCAACAACAATCTTTAACGCGGATAACACATAAAGTGGACTACCTGGAACTTGTTGATTTGAGAGATTGTGAAAGGGTGTATATAAGTTGTGTCCAACATTCTTCAGCATCCTATAATTATCATCAGTTAAAATATGTCAATATATTGACAGAGGATAATCAGCGGCGACCAGAGTGATCAGCTCTGAGTTACATATTATGCATACCTGCTGCATGTAAACACCATTATGCAGCTGGGCAAATTGAGGATATTTCTTCCGCAATTCCTAGAAAATGAAATTAATCAGGCATGCTTAGCCTGTGGGCTGACTGAATAATTTTTAAAAAAATGGCAATATGGTGGCAAGTTAACAACTTGTTGGTATTGATTAAAATATTGATTTTAATCTAAGTCAAAATTAACAATTAATTTTAATCATACATTTTATGAGACCCACAGCTTTTCAACCACACATTTCATCAACTTTTACTAAGCAAGGGCTAAGCTTTTGAAAATTTGCAACGACATACTTGTAGAATAAAGCATAGGAATCTCGCTTTTTAGGACAAGTGGGTGTGGGGTTTCCTATTTTAAAGAGAAGAAAATGAAGTGGTGAACTGGCAAAGGAACCACCTTCCTTCATGTATTAGTACAGTCATTGAAAATAATGAAAAGTTCCATAGAGATTTGGTGGACAAGAATCAAACTCAGGTCGCAGGCAGTATACTAAACAATACCCTTGATGTCCCAGTATACAGATGTATATGTTAACCAACCACTATCTTCCTTTCCCTCATCTATGTTCATGCTCATGCAGTGCAACATCTAGTCCAACAAAGCACTTTTCTGCAAAATTAAGTTATATAAATAATCTTTTTTCTTTGAAAAGATAGGTGAAGTAACTCTCTATTTTTAAGAAGTCTGGATCAGATGTAGCATCCCTGATCCCAATATCTGCATTCGTGTTGCTTGGACAATTTCGAATGCCACATGGCTCGTCTCATTTCAATTTGACTGTTCCATCAGTCAGAGCACCCCAATATTTTTCTAGGATTTTGCAGTGTGATAGACAATATAAAAACAACTATAGCAAACAGCAGAAATTGATACACTAAATTGACAAAGTTCTCTATATTCGTAAGAAGCAAATTCCTTGGATCCCCATCAAGAGTTGCATAAATGACCTCTTAGAATTCTGTAACTTAGGAGAGTGACCTAGTGAAGAAAATAATATTCATGTACAAGCTGAACCAATATTACCGTCAAAAATCTCATTGGTGCTACCGGCTTGACATTTTTGTCAAGGTCATTAAATAAATCTCGTGTTGCAGCAGTCAACAAATGAGAAGTCTGGTCGACTTCATTGCTTCTAACTGGAGGAGGGTACCTTAAAGTAGAAATGTACAGACGATTTAACAAAAAACTTAATTTTGCAAGAAAATGCAAATTGAAGAGGTTAAGATCACAAGCAAAATCAATCTTTGAAACAAAGTTCATACGACAAACACAAAACTCACTTTATCAAAGCAGACTTTAACTCTGGGACTGAATGCAAGCATTGTACTGTCGAGTTCATATAGCAGGTGTTTCCTAGATTAAATAAACCAGCAGAATGTCCCTGAAGCAGATATCATCAGTCATAGGCAATATTTTCACATCAACTGGACTAGTATACCTGCAAATCTGCGGAAAAGCCACAAACCTCCTCTCATGAACATATTCAAGAAGCTTAATATAAAATTATTTACCACGTGAATAACTTGTTCTTCTTCCGGCATGTCTTCAGCAAAAACAGGGCCCTTATCTGGGGCCTTTACAATCTCATCTGCGGTTCCCATCATCATCAATTTTTGACCCTGCATAACCAAAACTTACAAAAGCTGATTCTACTTTAACAATTGAACAAAGTCACTTACAATAAAAACTGTTCACCTCTTTCACTCCTAGTTTTGACCAATCTGCATCGTCCTACATTTCAAAGGAAGACGACTTCAGATGTTGAAAGAATATTTCAGTCAAGTGCCAATACGAAGAAAGTTAATGCAGCGATCCAGAAAGAATAAAACAAGTACTTCATTTATTTAAAAATTAAAAATCATCAGCTATATTATTTTCTCACTAAGAAAATCTACTTCAATACCCTTAATAAACCACCTTTGACCATAATCTTTTGTCTTTCAGGTGGTACTCCAGTAAGGTCGTAGAGCTGGCACTTGAATAAATATGGGGACTGGCTAATGTCTATTTCCACATTGGAAAACATCTCTTTTTGCCATTTCACACTTACTGAAAAGATGACAATACAAGGGATGTCAAAGCCATACCAAAAAGCCCTATTTTTGAAAAAAAGGTTGATCTCAGAATACATGCAGAAAATTAACATTCAATCAAGAGACAATTACACAGACTATTAAAGAGACTCTACCTCCCATTTCAAAAATTACAGAGAAAGCCCAATGAGATTTGTTTTCTACAGCAGAGTCCCCTTTGCAGTTTTTAAGGCTTTTTTTAGGGAATAATACCTAAATTCCACTTGTAAAACGGAAGGAAAAAAATAAAACTAAACAGAGATGTCTCAGATGACAATTAGGTCATCCCCTCTTCTGTCAAATTTTCTCTAATTCAACAAAGAAAATAATGGCAAGCCCTGATTTTGGTCATTCAAGTAGCTTGCACATAAGCTTATGTTGCTAGATTTCTCCATTTTACAAGGTCACGACTTTCTCTCTCTAAAATAGCATCTTTTCTCTCAATAATTCTCTTTTTCTTATCTTTAAGAGAGAGAGAGATCCTCTCTCTAGGTTATAGCAGAGATAGAGGCTGAGTAACTTCATTTGCAATGATGTACAACTAAACCCAATCATATTGGAAAACCGCATCATCAAACTTGTGCTGAAGTCACACAAAATATTACTGCAATCGATACTCTCCGGTTTGTGTGAGGAATAACCTTATGTATACATACTTCATTTTTTCTTTTTAATTTTAACAATGTCGAGTAATAACATTTTGTCTTCTTAGTGCTTGTTTGTTACAGATTTAAAGTCAATTAAAATCAATTTTCTGACTGTTATTTCACTATTCTAGCTATCATTTTTTAATTCTTCTATCACAGGTAGGACCCACTTTATCTCCAACGGTCAAAAAATCAATTATCAAAATCCCAACCAAACAAGCTCTTATTTCCCTTTGTTCATTTACATGCCATCCTAAATCAGTTACCAGTTTCCTTCTCATGAAAACTCATTGCAATTAATTCATTTTTCCAATTCTTTGGTACATACAATTTCAGCAATGTGCATGATGTTATGCCTCTATATTAGAAATACAAACGCTAACAATCTATTGTAGGGTCAAGTTGAGAAGCATACCAGGTGTATATTTAATTTTGTTATCATTCTACTCTTTGAAGGCAGTTTCCCACACAAAAGCTTGATGTGGTTTCATAAATTTGCAATGGCTGGGAAAGAGGCAGCTTCAGATTACTTCTAAAGAAAACTGAACATGAATAAAATAAGAGGATGGTAAATCAGCGTTGGGCCAATAGGGAGAATCCACCCACAAGAATTAAGACCGCCCAACAACAAACCCAACATTCCTTAGTACAAAACTCCAAGATTCTCCACAAAGTTCACCTTTTCTCCTTCTACCCAAAATCAAAGAGTCAATACTGATATTTACTCATCCCAATGATCAGAGTAGTAACAAGCACATCAGTTCTTGCACATCATTAGTAATAATACTTTAATATTAGGACTTCAATATTCCAAAAAGTCACAGTACATCTAAATAATAGACAATACCAATCCCCAATCAATAATGAGCTTAATATACTCCACGCTAACTTATAAGCAACAACAAACAAACACAAAAACCAACATCGGATTATCAAAGGAAGCGTCTTAATATACGGCTTCTCGAAATTTTACATAAATTCCAAAGAGGGAAAACCCACTTCAAATTGAAATTAAAAAATTTTGTGGATTGAAGAAAATAGTGTTAATTTATAACACGAGAAATTATCTGACCTGTCACCATGATTAATTTATGCTTCGGCGCTGGCAGGATCGGGAGATGGCTATGGATTCTGTATGCGTCTGTAGTTTCACTTGCTTAAGGAAAAGGACAATTCTTTGAGGACCAGATTATTTATGGGAGGAAGAGAGGGGCAGATATTTAATTTAAGGTTCTTTAGGGACTTGTAATTAATTAGTTAAATAATTGAGAATTAAAGTGCTAGTATGCAGATTTTTTTAAATAAAAAAAGAGGAGAAATGGGATATTTTAGATATTTTATCATTTTATACTTATAATGCAAGTGCTTGTCTCGTATAAATATATTTTATGAAATGTAATTTTTTTTGGAATGTATAGTTAATATATAAGAAAAAGTTTCAAATTTTGAGAAAATATGTAGTTAAAATAAATTTGAAAAAAAAATAATTTAAAGAGTTTGTTTCAAACAGTGGTTAAGACTATACGTGAAGAATATATAAATAATTTAATTTATAAAAATATTTAAATGAGTGATGAATAAGCGAATATCACTTATAAATTCATTAAAATGCATGATTAAAAATTAAATTTAATCATTTGTAAATAATTTGTAAAATTTGCAAAATGAATGCTGAAATGATAAACATCAAACGTATTATTGTGAAGTAAAATTTTCAAATAACGTTCGTTACTACGAGTCGAGTGCTGCTAAATTCTTCCTGCGACAAATGTATGATTTTATATCTTGCTCAAAAGCCACTCAAACGCTTTAAAAAGCAATCCTCTTATCTTTTTGCAAGTTTTTTTAATTTATTTTTTCTACATTCAAGAAATATAATTAACTGTCTAATTTTCATTTTCTTGGTATATAAGATATGTTAGACTAAAACACACAAAAAAAATAATTTTTGTCATTATAGCTGTGGCTTTAGTCGAATTGAGTAATTTTTATCCGTTTCTTATGCAATTTCTATTAATTATTTTTCAAAGAAGTAATATGTAAGGACTATTTTTTAGTTTCATTACAATCACATCGTCTTCGATGCCTGTGGTAGCTGTATTGCATAATTTTCCATCTTTGAAGAAAGGCAAATATTTATATTTTGACCTGATTAGTTTGGATAAAAATTAAATTTTTAATAAATTTTAATAAAAATTGATGGAAAGTGTGGAATTATTAAATATATGATTAAAATTATTTAGATTTTAATTAATTTTTTTCCCTAAAGGAACTTTATATTTGGATAACACTACTTGTACATAATTTTTTATACATTAAGGTATCCATACACTCACATGGGATTCGAGCAGACAGTGTGGGACACCTTGATCTACAAAAAAATCATGTACACCAAGTAAAATTCTTTATATTTTTATCATGAAAAATTATGAGAATAGAATGCCGAATAGTAACTTCACGAGTACAAGAAAAGAGGAAAAAGATGGAACAAAATTAGAACTAGTTATTCAAGTGGATCCCACCCATGCAAGCGTATGGATATGTTAATGCATATCAAGCAAAGGTCTATATATTTTCATTGTGAAAAAGTCCGAGAAAGGAATGCTGAATAGCAAATTCGCGAGTACTAGAAAAGAGGAAAAAGATGGGACAAAATTAGAACAGTACTCCCCTCTTATTGCTTTCTTCCTCACAAAGATGCCATTTTCTGCCATTACAGTCCCTCTTCACTCTTAACCCCATCTTTCTCGCACTAACCTAATTTCACTCCACCAATTTGCCTTTTTGACCCCATAATTCTTATCCCTTTTTACTTTTGTCCCTCTGCCTCAATACCCCGAGCACTCGCACCCGAAAACCTATAAATTTCCTTGTAAGACCTGATAATTTGTGCGAAGAAAAAATCTGATTAAAACCCAATTGAATCTGTTCATTTGCTAGCACGATCCCTCTTTTTTAATTGCTATTAAAGCTTATGGAGCATTTTCCCAGTATAGTGACGCCTAATTAAAGATCGATACAGGTACAACTGTACAAGCCCTTTTTTTGTTCCCCTTTTAAAGTATTGGATTCTTGTATATGGTTTTGTCTTAAACTTAATTTGTATGAGGGTTTTTTTTTTTTTTCTCACTCTATGCTACTTCATTTCGGGGAAATAATTGGTTTTAAAGCATGGGGTTTGTTTTGATTGTGTCCTTTTTCTGAATTTGAAGATTTCTTTGTATTGTTGGGTTAAGTTTTGAGAACATATTTGATTAAAGCTATTGTTTTTTCTTTGCATATCACATACAACTGATTGAAGCGTTGAACCAGGAAAATTGAGTGGAAAATTTGATTGAGTTTTTATCAGCGATCACAATTGCTAAACTTTGAAATATTGCTCGTACTTTTTTGTTTCTTCTTGTTTGTGTGGGAAATGTTCTTTTTGAGTGGCTGCTTCTAGGAGATTCACGTGCCTTCTCAAGTGTCGCTTGTTGGGCTCTTAAAAAAGTTTGGTGGGATCAGTAGTTTGCATGAGCCATGAGTAGCTTGATGGTTACATATGTTGATGATGTCATTCAAAAAGCTAAAAGATTATCAGCTTAGCCCATGCATAGCGTTGTAGTTGCACATGTTGATGTTATAAATCCAGAACATCTCTTGTTATTATGGCCATTATCAAAAAGGAAGTCAGGTTCTGTGTTTTTAATTAGGAAATAGTAGAATAGGTTTTTGATGCACCCCTTGTGTTAATTTCTTCCAAATTTTTGGATTGATGTTTAATTGTCTATCAGGTAATGTTGTCAGTATGGATGGAAAACCATTATTGGGATATGAGGTTAATTCACCGGGTTAACTTTCCTTTTTTTTCTGATGGCTCTACCCATTTGACCTTTCAGAACTTAATTCCGATGCTCAGGGATCAAATCCACAAATTGAAATTCAAGGATTGAAGTGGCACTTTCAGGGACTATCGGTGTATTAAACACTAATAAGATCATAGTGTGTTCATCCTTGTTGTCTTTAGTAACACCATCACCATAACATTTTTCAGGTGACGTCTATTAACATTGACACCTAACCTCCTCCCGTACGAAGTTTAACAATAAACGCATCCTTGTGCTTGTGTCTGTTTGGGAGAGAGTATTTTGTTGTTTGATTCCCCATGCTCGTATGAATGATTGTGCCAGAGAACTTATAATAGTTCGAGGATGAAAAGTAGGATATGTCTACCCTTTTATCAATGGTTCGAAGTTATGATCTATGCTCATTGTTGTGATGTTTTACAGCCTTTCTGTGCAATTAAATGCTTAGGTATGAATGGGTACAGGGTTTTAGGTGAGGTTTGAAAAGTCGGGATTATGATTTAACTTTTCATATTTATCCTCAAGTCAAATAGCCAAGAATCCTTTAGAATCTGTCATGCATGTAAGGGATCTTCCTGAACAGAAAAAAAAAAATAATACTGGAAAGAATTCATTATTTGTCAACGTCTGATAAAGGAAATAAGACCATTTTGATCATGCACCCAACCCTCTATGGAGGGATTACTTTTTCAGCTGGTTCCGTTTTACCAAATCAAGCATCTTATGTGTTTGTTAATCAGAAAGTGAATATCTTAAGCTGCAGGCTGAATTGTAATGCTGAATGTTGCTTCCATCTGGTGGGCTTGGGATGACTTCAACAATGGATGATATGAACTTAATCCATCAGGCTCAGAGGCATCACATTGTGGTCAGCGATCTAGGAGAAGAAATTGATTTGGAAATAAGGCATGGTGACGATGATCCCACTTTTGCACACAATCCTCTACTTGGCGTCCAGCCCCAGGAATCTTCCACCGAAGAGCTTAGTGAAAACAAGCAGATGATGGATTCTCAACTTCCAAATGAGGAGCAGAATTTGTCAAGGACACAACCAGTTAAAAGGAAAAAGAAAGTTGTTAAAAGATGGAGAGAGGAGTGGGCTGATACATATAAGTGGGCTTATGTTGATGTGAAGGATGGAACAGCAAAGATATTTTGCTCTGTTTGCAGGGAGTACGGCAGAAAGCATAGGCGGAACCCTTATGGAAATGAAGGCAGTAGGAATATGCAGATGAGTGCATTGGAGGAGCACAATAATAGCTTGCTTCACAAAGAAGCACTCAGATTACAACAAGCCTCTAAAGAGAAGATAATCGTCGATAAACCAATATATGTGAAAGGTTAGTTCCTATTTTTTTTATGCTATATTTCTTTTTAAGGTTTTCAACTTTTTAAGGTTTTCCTTTATTTGGGTCGAGAGAAGTTATTTGATGCTAACAACTTCTCTCTCTCTCTCTCTCTCTGATGTTCGCTAAATGATCTTTGTATTTCTGTCATCTTGATATGATTCATCTTCGAATGTGAAATTATGAAGCTACAAAGGAATTAATTGCACTTATGTCTTCTCCTCTTTTTGTTCTTTGTGAAGATATGCAAAACTTTGTCATTTTGTGGACTATAGAATTCTTCTATTTGTTTCTTCATTTATTTTGATATGAAAATGTGTTGGCAAACATGATTAGTCATGAGAGGAGAACCAGAAGTTTTTAACTCCATGTAGCTTGGTTTTTATTTTCTTCCTTGTGTTATCTTGTTGCAAAACTTATATACCATTCTATGCGATCTATTTGACCGAGGATGAATGTAGATGATCTGATAACAATGTTTCTTTCAGTTTGATGGAAATCAAGCTTCTTAAGTTAGTTGACAAATCTTGTAGCATAAAGGAAACAGGGGGAATTTATGATTACATTTTTTTTCTTTATAACTAGGAGTCTTCATCTTCATGTATATTATGAATTTTGTTTAGTTAAGCGTCCCTTAGTTCTCTATAAATAGGATGTCTTCATTCTAGACTCAACAGATTTAGTTTGCATGTTGCATTTCATCTATATCGGCCACGTTACAAGTCATCTATGCTAAACACTTACTTTTTCTGGCTTTTTGTACAATGGGTGAATCCTTATTAAAGCACTTATGTCAAAAACGGCTGGATCAATTGTTGAAGCTGCATTGAAAAGAGATCCTCATGAAGCTGAGTTCATACAGTCCGTTCAGGAAGTGGTTCATGCTCTTGAAAGAGTAATTTCAAAAAATTCCAAGTAATTTGCTTCAAGAATGACCCATTTGAAGAAACTTTTCGTTATCTAAGGAT